CATCATCATACACGTTAGGTAGAGGTGGGGAACACCTCAGCTACTGTGCCGCAATACATAGTAAAAAGGAGAAAAAATGCAACTGGTGCAAGCTGGCTGAGCTACCGGTAAGGGATGGGCACCGTTCCGGTAAGCTACCAGCCGGCTGCTGTGCACCAAAAAAATAATTACTGTGCAAAATTATATAAGGCTAAATAATGAGATCGTGGTTGGAGGGGGAGGCTAAGAGGGATGGGGTGGGACAGCGTGTCTTGGGACGTGGAAGTCACTCGCTCGAGGAGCTCGTCTCACTGCATCAACTGCGGTGGTTGGGACACGTATTGCGTATGCCTGTCCAGCGTTACCCCCGTCGTGCGTTGTTTGCACTTGCTGGACAGGGCTGGAAGAGACGGTCTGGTGGACAGCCTACAACATGGAGAAGCCGTATGAAAAAGCTGACGAAACAGTTTGTCTCGACCGGTTGTTGTCGACTACCTGGTCGGGGTGCGAAAGATAAGGATACTTGCTGTTTGAAGACCTTGGAAGTTATGGCTAAAGATCGATGATAATGGCGGACGTGTGCATCGGTTTGCTGCGGTGTCCCTTCTTCCTCCCCCTAAGAAAAAGAACAAACTGAAGAAAAATTTCAAAAACTGTAGGTGGTGAAATAGATAAAAAAGCATTCGTTGTTGTTCTTTTATTATTCACATTGTTTTCTTATTCAGCCATGATTCCGATGGCACAATATCTGTACCACAGATTGTGTTATATGGTTGGCGGCATCCGGTTTCGGATTTGCCTGTCACTGTGGCAAGCCACAGGACGCCTGCGCCTACAGAGAGACCATGGATGGCTTGCGCTGCACCACCCACAGCTCCAACCACATACCCCATATCCAGTGTAAACCCGAAGGAATAAGACCGGGAGGCATGCGGATGGGAACCACGTTTCATCAACGGAGCCGGCCCACACTCCTTCACAGGCAAACACAAGCACGCTGTATTTGGGGAATCAACCGCACACAAGGCGGTGGCTGGACCGTAGTCCGCTCCACACTGACTGCATGGAACCGCTCTTTGAGCCTAACACGGCCACAAGAACCGTGCACCCCGTCCCCTCCAGCAACGACCAACTGTCTCCTGGAGCCAGTATGAACGATGTAGTGGGTAATAGACAGGTAAGCACCTTGTCAACATACACATCAAGCGCAACCATACCAGGGATATCAAACAACAGCCATTCAATTTAAACGACAAGCTGAAATATAATAAATCCAATAATGCATACAGATACGGTGGCATAACTCTTCGCTAAATTACCATATGAAGTAAGTTGGTCAGCAACAAATCCGTGATAAGTAAGAAATGTCCACAAGTTACTTAAAATGCTACAAACGCAACAAAATTACCGAAGATAAGCGCAATTAGTGTAAGCAACGTGGCCAATTAATAGAACATTGTTCAGGGAGGCAGAACAAACCAAATAAAGCGGAATGAAATTTATCCAGCTTAGAAAGACCTAGTTTAAGTGTAAGTTGGTTTAGCCCAACTGCGGTGAAGAAGCATCAAGAATGCAACATCAGCCTCAGCATGGGGCACAATTGGATATATATATATATATATATATATATATATGTATATATATATATATATATATATATATATATATATATATATATATATATATATATATATAAAATCAGATGTCTAAAGTGATGAGCTGGAAAGGTAATCGAAGCACGTCATTATTTTCAAACAACCAGGAAGATGTACACGGATGTGTCGAATCGCATTGCGACATCCCGCAACACTGAGCTCACTGGTTGCTGTTCTGGCAATGAGTTCTAGAAACTGCAACCTCCATTCCATTTGCGTCGAGGTTCTGGGGATCCGCGGCCAGAAGTTCATCGTACTGCATTCGCATTTCATTCTCCACTTGGGCCTTCACCACCTGCCAAACATTTTCGATGGGATTGTGAAACGGCAATGTGGGCTCAGGCTCAGAATGGTAACCCCTTCGTATCCTTTGACTGACGCAAGTGCTTCCAAACATGTATGTATGTATGTAATCTCAACAGTCTAGTAACTAGACATAGAGCCAAGAAAACCACGGAAATCAGTGTATAAGAGACAGTCATTGCGTCATAATCGTAATGGCATGCTAGCTGAAGGTGGGCAACACACTTCAGCTAATATGCCGCAAGAAAATGGAATATTTTGACAAAAATACAGAACAAAACATTTTTAGTTTGTTTGTCACACGCCGGTTTTTCTCTTTTTTTGTCATTTTCAATTTTTGTAGAATTAAACATGTGAATCAACACAACACTGTACACAATTCTTCCATTGATTTCGGTTGCGGGCCATGTCTTCAAGTGTCCTAAGCCATTGGCACTCGCCATCTTTGGGTCCCCATCCTGGAAGACGTACTAAACCAACAGCGGCTAGACACGACGTCAGCGATTTCATGTGCTGCCGCCAAGTGGAAGGCTGACCACCACGCGGTCGCTTCCAGCCAGGTCCTTGACGAGCGAATAGAGCGCGACGCGGTAGACGCTCAGGTGCCATGCGTAGGACATGACCGAGCCATCTTAACTAGCGCAACAAAACCAGTTTGTTGAAGGAAATGCTTGCATTCCCCAAGACGCGACGTCGAACGTCATTACTGGTAACTCGATGTTGCCACCGAACACGAGCGATCCTCCTTAAGCAACCGTTATCGAACGCAGAAAGACGACGCATGTCTTCCACGCGAATCGGCCAGGACTCGCTCCCGTACAACAATACTGAGCGAACGGACGCGCTGTAGACGCGGCCCTTTAGTGAGAATGAGACGTCACGACGACGCCACAAGTGCCTCAGATTGACAAATGCTGATCGAGCTTTAGCGATACGAAGCGAAACTTCTTTGTTGATAGTGCCGTCAGCAGAAACACAGCTAACAAGGTAGACGAAACTATCTACCTGTTCAAGTTGTGCACCTTGGAGAGTGAGCACGGGTGCAGGTGAAAGCCAATCCTTGAGCAGTACTTTACACTTCGATGGGGCGAAGCTCATGCCATACTTAGATGCTTCAACCGCCAAACGATCCAGAATGAGTTGCATACCCTGAGGATCGTCACCAAGTAAGGCGATATCATCAGCATAATCTAAGTCGGTCGCGCGCTCACCCGGTAGAAGCTCTAGGCCAAAATGTTGGAAACCTTCTAGGGCATTCGACAGAACGTCTTCGATTGCGAAGTTGAAGAGGAATGGGGACATAGGGCAGCCCTGTCGCACACCGCTATTGACAGTGAATTGCGAGGAAAGCTTGCCATAGACCCTCACTCTGCCGGATGTGTGAAGGTAAAGTGCTCGTAAGATGGCGATATATTTCTCTGGCACCGCGTTCTTTAGTAAGCAACGCCATAAAGCAGGTCGATCAACGGAGTCAAAAGCGGCACGTATGTCTAGGAATGCAACGATAGTGGGCCTGTGATAAATGTGGCGATGTTCAAGGAGTTGGCGGAGCGTGAAGATTTGATCCACGCATCCGCGGCCAGGACGGAAACCAGCTTGTTCTTCACGGTAGTACGATTCACGTACTGGGGATAGTCTACGAAGTAGAATGGATGCCAACAGCTTAGAGGCAACCGAAATAAGACTAATCCTGCGATGATTTGCACATGAAGTGCGAGCGCCTTTCTTGAAAATTGGGACAATAACTGATTCGCCCCAAGAGGGAGGCACTCTCTCTTCATGCCAAATTTTTGCGAACAGCGCGGTTAGCTGGTTAATGACTGCCACACCGCCATACTTGAATAGCTCCGGAGGAAGTCCGTCTAAGCCGGCAGCCTTGAAGCGCTTCAAGCGTCGAATCTCGAGGCAGACTTCCGCTTCGCTGGGTGGATTCAATGGGACTAGCCAAGGTGGACAGCAAGGTGTACTGCATGTACTGATGGATGGTGGAGGTCAGTTGAACTGCGAGTGAAAGTGCTCGGCCCAGCGGTCCATACGCCTCTGTTGGTTGGTGATCGGAGACTCATCCACCTCACAAATGACCTCACTGACACCAGGCTTCCTGAGGCCAGTGGACCGAATGAGTTGGAAAAGCCTGCGAGTGTTACCAGAGAGGGCAGCAGTCTCCATCTCTAAAGCACGCTCAGACCACCATGTCTCGCGATCCTTGCGGAGGCTTTGCTTAAGCAGCCGGTTGGTAGAACGGCGCCGCTCGTTGCAATCTGATTCCGCGGAGATATCTTTGCGGCGTTCGAAGAGCTCCAGAGAACGAGCAGAGATCCAAGACTTCAAAGGGCGTCGAGTTAGACCGCAGTATGACTGTCCGGAAATGGTCAGCGCTTTCCGTATACAAGTCCAGTGTTGTTCCACTTCTCGCGGTGGATTGCAACTGAGTGCATATGCCAGTGAAGACTGATAGCTCTCCTGGACAGAGGAATCAGTTAATCTGTTTACATCAATCTTGCGGTGCTTCGTGTTTCGGGATCCTCCAAAACACATACAGATTTTCGCGCAGACCAGAGCATGATCTGAATCAACGAAAGTGGACCAAAAGGACCTGCAGTCCAGTACGCTGCCGCGCCATCTGAAGCTAATCGCAATGTGATCAATTTGAGACCAAGGTTGTGTTGGCGAAGGGGGACGCCAAGTTGCGGAACGTTTCTTCGTACGCCTGAAGCTAGTGCTCGAGAGAAACAGACGGTTGTCCTCGCACAATGTGAGAAGTCTCTCTCCGTTATCAGAGCGGTTCTCATCGAGCGCGTGATGACCACCAAGGTGGCGTTCGTATGGTAACAGGCGGCCAACCCGTGCATTAAAATCCCCAGCAAGGATAACGACATCCGACTTTTTAGCATTAGTCAAGAGCTGTTGTAGATCTCGGTAGAAATCGTCCTTGACCGAGTCGCTACTGCAGTCAGTTGGAGCGTATACAGAGATCACAAACAAGTTGCGTCTCTCTTCGCGTTGCCTGTTGATTCTACATGAACCCCGAAGCCGAACTGCACATAGTCGGCTGTTAATCGGGAACCAGTCCAGTAGTGCCGCCTCGGCCTTGCCACTCAGTGCTATACCTACACCAGCCAAACCCGCTGAGCTTGCTTCTGGATCTCCAGAAAGACGCAGGTGATATCTGGCTTCGTGGTCAGTGGGGGATGTCAATGTAAGCACAGTGCTGGGATCTTGCAATCGGGTTTCTGAAAGACAGCAGACATCAATGTCTAGGGAATCTAGGGTGCGCGCTAGACCGGCTTGCTGTCCAATCTGCATGAGTGTCCGGACGTTGAAGCACGCTAGACGGAACGAGGATTGGGGACGAAGGAGAGCCATAGGTTGAATTCCTTGATCTGCGGAGCAACCGGAATCGCAGCCAGATTGTTGAACAGATGAATCGGGTAACCGAAAGTGAGGATTGTTAGCAAACAAACAATTGGCGTGTGATGGAGTAGCGTGAAAGTGAGTAGCAGGAATAGTAGCTGATGAGCGCGTTGTGGTACAGTCCATGGTTTTGTGAGAGGGCGTGATACTACCCGGTTGCCCAAGCCGAAGTAGGGAGTTGACTTAAGGGACTCCACCCCGAGCCTTTGGCTAAATAACCTACCCGCAAGGCAGCGGGGCGAATTTAGGGAATCGCGCCCATTGGGAGGCGTTGACTGAATGATCAGCTCATGCGCCTTTGTTTGGTAGATTACCAAACAGGGGCCCAATACTCCCCATGAAGTCAGCACAATTGCTGGAATACAATGCCCCACGGAGGTGGAACATTGTCGCCGAACACTTTGCTGGAACGGGGTACACCCGAACCACCCAGCTGGCACCACGGGGAGGTAGTTCGGCAAGCCAGCCGGTAGTTCGGTGCATTTTCACACTCTACGCTGGAATGAAAGACATCCATTCAGTCGTACGCTTATGTTCCCGCCGTTCATTGCTCGCAGACCAATGGTGATTCAGCGTTTCGGACGTGATGGGTGTCGCATGGTAGCTCGTGGCACCGCTCATGTTCACGGACTCGAGGTTCATTCACAAGTCTCACCCAATCAATGGGCAGCGCGCTCACTTTACTTGACCTAAGCATCAAACCCTAGCCCCCGACCAATGAGAACACACTTAAGGTCAGAAGACTGGCTCAAAGCGGCTGGTGAATCGCATAGGATTTCACAAAATTTTGGACTTCTCCTTTGCAGTTTTGGACATTTTATGTCAAATCCTGTAGTTCTGCAAAATTTTGAACGTTTTATGCAACTTTGCGGAAATGCTATAGAATTTTTAAACATTTTGGCCTAGAGCTTCTACCGGGTGAGCGCGCGATCGAGTTAGATTATATTAATGATATCGCCTTACTTGATGACGATCCTCAGGGTATGCAACACATCTGGATCGTTTTGCGGTTGAAGCATTTAAGTATGGCATGAGCTTCTCACCATGGAATTGTAAAGTACTGCTCATGGATTGGCTTACAGCTGCTCCCGTGCTCACTCTCCAAGATGCACAACTTGAACAGGTAGAGAGGTTCGTCTACCTTGGGAGCTGTGTTGCTGCTGACGGTACTATCAGCAAATAAGTTTCTCCGCATCGCTAAAGCCCGATAATCGGTTGTCAATCTGAGGCACTTGTGGCGTCGTCGCGACGTCTCATTCTCACTAAAGGGCCGCGTTTACAGCGCAGCTGCTCGTTCAGTGTTGTTGTAGGGGAATGAGTCTCGGCCGATTCGCGTGGAAGACATGCGTCGTCTTTCTGCCTTCGATAACGGTTGTTTAAAGGGGATTGCTCATGTTTGGTGGCAACATCGAGTTAATAGTAATGACGTTCGACGTCGCATCTTGGGGAATGCGAGTACTCCCTTCAACAAACTGGTTTTGTTGCGCCAGTTAAGATGGCTCGGTCACGTCCTACGCATGACACCTGAGCGTCTACCGCGTCGCGCTCTATTCGCTCGTCAAGGACCTGGCTGGAAGCGACCGCGTGGTGGTCAGCATTCCACTTGGCGGCAGCACATGAAATCTCTGACGTCGTGTCTAGCCGCTGTTGGATCCGTACGTCTCCCAGGATGGGGACCCGAGGATTAGGAGTGCCAATGGCTTAGCACTCTTGAAGATATGGCCCGCAACCGGAATCAGTGGAAGAATTGTGTACAGTACTGTATTGGTTCACCAGTTTAATACTACAGACATTGAAAATGACAAAAAGTGAAAAATCGGCATGTGAAAACAAACTAAGAATGTTTTGTTCTACATTTTGTCAAAATGTTCCATTCTTCCTGCGGCATATTAGCTGAGGTGTGTTGTTCACCTTCAACTACCACGCCACGATGATTAGGACGCAGTGACTTCCCCATATCTGCTAGTCTCCATGGCTTTGTTGGTTCTATTTCTAGTTGCTAAGCTATTGAGATTGATTTGGCGGCGTCCGTATCAGGATTTGCCTGTCACTGTGACGTCCATGGGGACAGTCACAGGACGCCTGCGCCTACAAAGGGGACCATGGGTGGCTTGCGCTGCACCACCCATAGTTCCACCCACATACCCCATATCCGGTGTAAACCCGAAGGAACAAGACCGGGAGGCATGTGAATGGGAGCCACGTTTCATCAACGGAGCCGGCCCACACTCCTTCAACAAGCAGAACGGAAGCATTCCGGCCTAATTGGGAAATCAAACACACCAGACGTACACGACGCGGTGCCTGGATCGTAGCCCGCTCCACACAGCATGGAACCACTCTTTAAGCCTAGCACCGTCACGAGGACGGTGTACCCCGTCCTTACTAGAAATGACCAACTGTCTACTGGAGCTAGTATGGAACAGGTAGTGGGTAATATACAGGTAGGCACCTTGTCAACATTCACATCAGGCGCATCCACACCGGGGAGCTCAAGCAACATCTACTTCTGAAATGCAAGATTACTCATCACGCAGGCAAACGTACCACATACGCCGCCGTATTGGACTGGATTTGTAAATTGAATGGAAACATACTCATGGTGCATCTATTCCACATACAATAGTGCCTTCTCCGGCACCTGAGAAACCACCCTTTTGAGCAGTCCACGGAAGTCGCATCGATCAAATTTGCCTTGCATTCGCAACACCTGAAGTCAACACGAGATTGTCATAAACTCACCTTCTTCATTTGGTTGTCTGAGTTAGCAGTCAACCTGCCGAGCTCAGCGAACACTCAGACAACCAACTGAACAACCTGAGCTACCAACATTTGCTTCTATATCTCACCTTCTTCATGTTCTGGTAATGTGATTTTCGGTTTGCTCGAATGTCGTTTTACTTCGCCGTACAAAAGCGGCATGAGTATCTTCGTCGAATTCATTCGGTATACATAAATACATAGCTTGGCGTCATCCGCGTCCAATGGCAGTTCGAATACAACATATTTACATGCGTTTATCCAAACTTAAGTGTGATCTGTCACAAAATGGAGAGACACACATTAGACATCATCATCAATGGTACGCCAAACGTGTATGAGTTTCGTTTGGAGGTCAGGCCAACAACCACTTTTGCGGGCATGAGAATAACTAACCAATACGAACTGTTGATGTTTTCTTCAACATTTAGACTTGACAGCCTTAAATCTTGGGCATCTATATTTGAAGGAACCTGATGTAGCAATAGCGAAGCAACTGCTAGGTAGAATGATGACTAGACTACTGGTACAGTGAAATAGTGTGCACTTAGGTGTTGCCCTCTACATGTACAGTCTGGTTTGAGTAGCTGATGGGAGAGACCACATAGCATGCGAATGCGATGCAGTGTCCACTTCTGGCTCTCTGTGTCTCCGACCGTTTCGGTCCTGTGCTGCCCGAGGTATGTGCACCTACTCAAAGAACGATTGATGCGCAACCTTTGGTATTGACAAGTGACATCAAATAAGTCCCGCCGCCCACTGTCACACATGTGACTTTCCAAACAGTGTTCGCATTTATTGTGCAAATGTCCAAGTACACAACCGTTTATACCTACCGACCTGTATTCTACCGTGGCCATTAGCTATTTGCTAACGGTCTATATCGTACGTTTCGGGTGCAGCCATTCGGTGCTCATAAAACTATTGTCGCTATGCGCCGATTCATTTCCGATGCTATATAATAACACACTGACGTACCATTCCCGTTAGGTTTAACCTTTTATTTAATCCATCCAAAAGATTGGCATGTGCAATGCAACTTCTGGTAGGCGTCTCTGTACCTCTGCCTTCCATCCGGTTAGTACGTGTGTTTTCATAAGCCCCGGTAAATGCAGTATGGCTGAGGGATAACTGGAACTATAACTATACTCACTCTCATCACTGGCCTGCGGAGTGGAACATGAAATGGTGACATCGTGATAATCGCCAGTCGGTTAATTTTTGGGATTGTTCACTAGACACAGAATTTCCAGGGAAATTTCTCTTCCAATGCATAATCCAATGTGGTCACACGAGGGACAATCCTTGAGCATTGTGTTCCAAATATCAAATTCGACATTTTATGCGTACTGTAAACGGCCAAGCGATAATGACATTTTGATTCAAACGTGTCCTTTTTAGTGCGGTCGCAAGAAAACTGTCCTCCTGCGTTATTCGCCTCCAAATCTTTGGAATTATTCTCACAGAGACCTACGTGCCATCATTCGATTTGGCTCCGCGAGCTCCTCCTACCACTGTTCATCTATTGGATCTATCATTCAAGGATCACCAGCAAACTGTGCCCTTGCAAATTCGAAGTCAACCGT